CGTTCCCACTGAACCGCATGGAAACCAACCATCGATTCGTTAACTGGGGGACGGCTTCCTCGCTTCACATTTACTAAGAGAAACAGGTTAGTCAAAGGCCAGCACTTCCCAGAGGCCAACGCAGACCTCGGGCCCCAAGCCAGGCTCCCGTGAGTGAGGAGACAGACAGACAACAGTCCCGGTTGCCCACCTCTGCTTAGGGCTTCTCACTGTTTCCCTAACGCGCCTGACATCTAGTGAGCTACCCTCACTGTGAGCGCATTGCGTAGATCATCTCATGTAACGATCATAACAAGCCAATACTGTGCCCATTTTACAGAGGAACAAGTTGAGTTCCAAAGAAGTTACAACTTGTTTGAGCTCTGGAATGTGGTGGAGAGGGGATTCAATCATATACTAGAATAAAGCAAACGGGGGAACCCTATTACCCCAAACTTTAATGGAAATATATGGGCATAAACCCATGAAGCGTTTTTCCTTTAAGAAAGGTGGGGGCAGGGGTCCACTTCTCTCCAGGGAAAAGGACTGAGGCCAGGCCGCCAGGAGCCGGACACCGTCACTCGGACGGTCGTGTCTACACGCTCCTCCCGAGACCAAGGCTCTGAGGAGCCACGGCGACTCCGGGGCTCAGGCAGGAACCGGCCAGAGGCGCGGACACGCCTGCTTGTCTCAGAAAGCAAGGCAGCGACCGACGACTCGATTACCATATGCAAATTATTCCTTAAGAAATGACAAGAAGCGGGGTTGTCAGAAGAACCCCAAAGGCTACACGGAGGGCTCCGTCCATCTGACCGCAGGCGGGACAAGCTGACCACAGACACGGTCCTCGCACGCCACACGGAGGGCCTCCGTCCATCCGAACGCAGGCGGGACAAGCTGACCACAGACACGGTCCTCGCACGCCACACGGAGGGCGGCAGGAAACAGCTCCTGCACAGGGAGGGAGCTTCTGTACAGACGAGCTCCAGCTGTGACGGGAACGACAGGAGGCCACGCGACCATCTGCAGTCCCTCGTGACATCAGCAGTGGCTGCTCAGTCTCTGGGACCAAGGCTGCTGGGCCGCTGTGTCCACGGACGGCCAGACGGACAGCGCCTGGGCCCAGAGCCATCTCGACGGACAGCGCCTGGGCCCAGAGCCATCTCGATGGACAGCGCCTGGACCCAGAGCCATCTCGACGTGAAACGAAGAAGAGCCAGGGGGGCAGGTGCCCGCACGGCGGGAATGGGCCAGCGTGCGCCCCCGACGTGGTCTGTGCCAAGCCATTCCACCCGAGGTCTGCTGGCGCCATCAGACTCACAGCGTTCACAGACGCTCAGGGTGGGAGCCTACGTGTGTGACGCCATCTCCAGACCGAGTTATTCCCAGGACGGCCGGCTCCGTCCGCAGATAAACGGGGAAGAGGAGAGGACACCGTCTCAGAGGCAGACCGACCACATGCCGAGTGTGGACCTTCTAGATGTTCCCATTAAATGACATTTTAGACCCAATGACCCTGGCACTGAGGGGGCCGTCGAGAGGAATCCGAGTACAGTACGAGCGAAATCTGTGTGACGATGAAGACGCTACTGCTCAGGTGAGATCGTGGTCCCGTGGTTTTAGAACATGAGCGAGTCCCGTTGGACGCTGCGTGCGGAAGCACAGATGCAACAGTGTGTGGGGTTTGATATAATTGTACGGGGCGGCGGGGGCGGGAGAGTCTAGAGACCAGCTGGGTGCATGATCCTGTTGAAGAGGAACGAGGGCTTTGAAGGGCTCGCTATATTATTCCATTTGCTTGGAAACGTCCACAACCAAGTGTTAAAAATGGGAGTATACGCCTGAACATGTTCTTTATCTGCCTTCCTTCTCTAGGCAAACAACATCGACTCCTTCGCTGCATGTCTCTTGTTCCCGCAGGTGAAGCTTCACAGGTTAGGGGGGCCCCCCCACTGCTCTCACTTCCCACAGAAACCAGGACGAGAACAGATGCGGCGTCGGCAGAGCCAGTGGGTGCCGTCTCCAGCCACTGTTCATAGAGCGCTGGCGCCGGAGGGCGTGCATGTGGGTTTTCCCAGAGCCCCAGCCAGAGAGGTGTTTCAGGGGTCCCGGGCCGGATCAGGGGGGTCCCGGGCAGGATTGGGGGTCCCGGGCAGGGTCGGGGGTCCCAGGCAGGATTGGGGGGTCCCAGAGAGGATTGTGGGTCCCGGGCAGGATTGTGGGTCCCGGGCAGGATTGGGGGTCCCAGGCCGGATCAGGGGGGTCCCGGGCAGGATTGTGGGTCCCGGGCAGGATTGTGGTCCCGGGCAGGATCGGGGGTCCCGGGCAGGGTCGGGGGTCCCGGGCAGGGTCAGGGGTCCCACCAGGGAGGATTGTGGGTCCCGGGCAGGATTGGGGGTCCCGGGCAGGATTGGGGGTCCCGGGCATGATTGGGGGTCCCAGGCCGGATCAGGGGGGTCCCAGGCAGGATCAGGGGGGTTCCAGGCCGGATTGTGGTCCCGGGCAGGATCGGGGGTCCCAGGCCGGATTGTGGGTCCCGGGCAGGATTGGGGGTCCCGGGCAGGATCAGGGGTCCCAGGGAGGATCGTGGGTCCCGGGCAGGATTGTGGGTCCCGAGCAGGGTCAGGAGCTGGGCCTGGGGCCCTGGAGCCTCAGGCTTGGAAAGAGCACCCTCTTCTACCTGCTTTTTAAACTCGTAGGAGGTGAGCCTTTGGGAAGATGTCTGACAGTTCCCGCAATTCCCGGCAGTGAGCTCCCAAGTCAACCTGGTTTTGTGGAAGTCGTCCTCATGAACTTAGATTCCTGCTGCCCTTTGTTTTTTAATCCCCACCCAAGGATATTTTTTATTGGTTTTTTAGGAGAAAGGGAGAGAGACAGACAGACAGACAGACAGACATTGATGTTTGAGAGAAACATTGATCGACTGCTCCCACACGGCCCCAAACAGGAATCAAACCCACAACCCTTTGGTGTACGGGACGCTCACCCAGCTGACTCCCCCCCCCCCCCCCCCAGGGCTGCGCTGCTTTCCTTCCTGACTCCGATCCCCAGGGCCCAGCAGCCGCTAGTCCTGAGAAGGCACTGCCATGCGAGCCCTTCTTCGGTGCCCAGCCCACCTGCCAAGCTGCCGTCCCTCTCCCTGGTCGAGATGCCTCCAAACGGGTGTCTCGTGAAATCAGTGTTTTACTTATTTGATCTGAAGTTTGGGCACCGTCTCTGCGACGCCCCGGACAGAGCTGAATCGCAGAGACGACAGAGCATCCCTGTCTTGGTCCTGCAGACAAGAGCGTCTGAAGTGTCTCACTAGCCAGCAATCTGGGAGGCACGTCCAACCAGATGGGAGGGTCTCTTCCACTGGCGTTTGCCGAGACGTGTTCATCATCAACGGCTGTTTAACAATCTCACTGAAGGCTGTTCTTTCTCTATCAGGATGACCATGGATTCCTCCTTTAACCCGTTAGTGCTGTCACTACAGGGAATAACATTTACAGAACTAGAACCCGAATCCGACAGTGCATATCCTGACTCGTGTTCTGTGTCAGCTTCTCTTACACCCGACCCAGGAGCAGAGGACATGACACTGAGCTCTTGACCAAATGGAGCAACTGGGGTCAAGTGCTAACAAGTGAAAGGATTCAGCTCAGAATGGATGGAACGAACTGGTCCCAGAGCAGAGAAGTGACCTGCGGACCAGCCAGGAGGGCGAGAAGCCGTCAACACAAACCTCACCATGGTTTTCAGTATTAAAAAGACAAAAATATATGACCAGGCGGAACACAAACTTCACGCTACGTAAAGATGCACCCTGACACCGCAGATGCATGTCATGGCCACTCCGGCCGACCCCCACAGCAACCTGGGCCTGCTTTTCTAAAACACCACCAACGCTGTCATTAATTCAAATGACTCGCTATTAGTAACCGCCCATCACAACACAAATTACTTCTGATGCAATTCACAGGCGGGCAGGAGGGATCGGGTGACACCGGAAACGCCACCTGTCTTCCTCCTCTAAGATGAAACTTGTAAATTATGTGTGGCATCTGCTGTTTGTCTGGTTAGAGAAGAACTTTACGACAAGAACAAGTAAAATAAAACTCCTGCCGGCTGGTGTGGCTCAGTGGGTTGGCCCAGAACGAAGAGGTCCCCTGTTTGAGTGCAGGCTCGAGGGCCAGCAGGGGGCGATGAGGAGGCGATGATTCTCTCAGCATTGCTGTCTCTCTCTCCCTCTCCCTTCCTCTCTGAAATCAATAAAAATAGGCACCACCAGTCACCTGCTTAGAGGCGAGGCCTCCTCCTGAACAGGAGGAAACTGCTTGTATCTAGTTTGTTACCTAAAACTCCCTGATCTTGTCAAAACAAGTACAAAGCGAGACATTTTGTTAACAAGGGGCAAATCCACGTGAATCAGGAGTGATCCGTGGATTTTTTCCAGGAGAACAATCTCTGAGACCAACTGTGCCGGAATCACGGCGCAGGAAACGGGATAAAGTGACACATTCCGCAAATATTAAACCAAAGACTACCTTGTGGGAACTGGCCATTCGTCACCTCTGACCCGAGTGCTTTTAGAGGACAGCCCACAACCCCCGGAACGCACGGACGGCTCCTCCATGTGCCCGTGCCCAGTGCTCCGCGGGCACACGCGGCTGAAACCGGAGACTCTGGTGTCCCTCACGTCTCGCTAACGGGATGGTCTCCTGGACGAAATCGTCCCGGGGATAAAAGGACACGCGTGCTCTGAGGCAGCGTAAAGTGGACGTGCTCGACCAACCCGGCTCTCAATAAAAGTCTTTGTGAAGATGCAGCTAAATGGAATCAACGGGCAGGCGATACCTCATCCATTCTGAGTAAGACCAACCCGGGGATCGAATGACTGGAAACCAAAATAGCGCCGGTGGCGGTCATAAAAGATGCAGGACGCGCCGGAGCCGGAGCCCGGAGCCCGGAGCCCGGAGCCCGCGCCAGGCTCGGCAGGTCCACACAGCTCTCCGGCCAAAGAAAGATTTACGTTCCCCTGAGCCGGTGCGAAGGCCCGCTCCGGCCCCGGCCGTACGGCGTCTCCTCTATGTGGACACACACTGACCGCACTGTTTCTCTGAGGCTGCAGCCCCAGCTCAGCCAGCGCGGCCGGGGAGGAGGCCGGGAGACGCAGATGGAGTGACAGTCAAGGTCCCTACCTGTGCTTCTTGATGCCGTTGGAGAGCGCGTCGCCCCCGCCGCAGTCCTGGCCCTCGGACATCCTGTGCTTTCCTGGGATCGGACGCTGCCCTTCCTCTTCACGGGAGCACGAGGTCACCGCCTCCAGCCGACTCAGGGACCGCTCGGACTCGGAATCTGTGGCAGAGCAGGCTCATGTCAGCGGCTGGAACTGGGCTTCGGTGACAGCCCGAGCGCCTCCCCTGAGGATCCGCCGTGAAACCCAAGCAGCCCTTGTCCTTCGCCACCGCCCGGAACCACCTCCCGGGATCCCAGAGCCCGAGCCCCGCACGCCAGAGGGGCTTATACCGACTCGCAGTCACACGGGTTTTATACACCAGGAGAGATTTCCACAGACCGAATTCAGCAGCTCCCTTCCAAATTTCTACTTTTATCTTCCCTCTCAAAGCATCTTAAACATAACTTACAAAAAAGCATTCCATTTTTAAAATTCACGATAAAGAGTAGCTGAGCTGTGAGAAGCATAAATGACATTGATCCTACAGACAAAACAGCAGAGGTAATTCAAAATACTTTAAAAAATACTTCTTCTGCCCTGACCGGTTTGGCTCAGTGGATAGAGCATCAGCCTGCGGACTGAAGGGTCCCAGGTTTGATTCTGGTCAAGGGCATGTACCTTGGTTGCAGGCACATCCCCAGTAGGGGGTGTGCAGGAGGCAGCTGATCGATGTTTCTCTCTCATCCAATGTTTCTAACTCTCTATTCCTCTCCCTTCCTCTCTGTAAAAGATCAATAAAATATATTTTTAAAAATATATATGTATTTTAAAAAATACTTCTTCTGCTATGATATTACTTTTTAAAACATACATTTTTATTGATTTCAGAGAGGAAGGAAGAGGGAGAGAGGGAAACATTAATGATGAGAATCATCCACCAGCTGCCTCCTGCACTCCCCCTACTGGGGATCGAGCCCACAACTGGGGAATGTACCCTGACTGGGAATCCAGCTGTGACCTCCTGGTTCATAGGTTGACACTCAACCACTGAGCAACACCAGCCAGGCTACTTTTTTTTTTTTAAGAATAGTTTATTGATTTTTAGGGAGGAAGGGAGAGAGAGAAACATCCATCGGCTGCTTCCTGCACACCGCCCACCAGGACCGAGCAAAAACCCAGGCATGTGCCCCGACTGAGAATCAAACCAGCAACCTTTTGGGACGACGCTCAACCAGCCGAACCACAACGCCCAGGGCCCATTAAGTGGGATGTTACTTAAATCCTCCGGAGCTGAAGCCAGAGTGTCCAGGTAACATCGAATTCCCGGGCAGGGATTTGGGGATGAAAATGCCGCGTCTCCACTGGGCTGTGTTCCGCGTGGAGCCATCTGCCTGCTTGGGAATCAGGACTAATTATCCTGCACAGGACAGCGTCGTGCCCAGGCACGTGACGGGCAGCGAGAACACTGACGGCGCCTGGTGTCTGAGCCGGACGTACCGGACGTGTGTGCACCCAGGTTTCCTGACTCCTCGTTTAACGTCCGTATTTCAGCTCAAAGTCACGGTCCCCCGTCCTCAGAACACTCTCCATGGTCCCTCGGAATTTATTAAAATGCAAACCCAAGGTCACGTCGACCTTCCCATGAGCGAGTCACCCACACTCAGCACGCCTGGCTCCCAGACCATCAGGCAAACTTCCTCAAACGCGTTTCCGTTCATGTCCTTAACATGGCTCAGCCAAGACATCCAGGAAATCATTATTTTTAGTGCTTCCCTCTCCCCCGCACACACTCAGCCAGCCGCGGAGCCTTGTTTTTATCACATTAGCCTGATTAGTCACACTGCTGACAGCGCCGTCGTGGCCAGCGGCCCTGAGCCTGGACTCCGGACCCAGATGGTGGAGTTACTCACAGCAGACCCAGTGCTGGCCACGCTGAGCTGATGTCTGCAGCCATAACACGGCCAGATGAGAGAGAGGGCTTTGTCTGTCCGTGTCTTATACCAAACAGGTATGGCAGGAGACATTCGAAGAGGTACTTTTCATGGTCATTGCTGTCAGTCACCATGTTGTATTGGGGTTAAGACAAGCCGTGAAGCCCACAACAAGGGACAGCCTGCCATGCGATGAAGCAGCAGTTGCTACGGTTACACCCCCCAAAACGGTCTGATGACATAGAGAACGTGCTTTTAACACAACCCTAAACAAGAACAACCTGACACCACTTCGCAGCCCACACACAAGCACCGTGATCGCTGCTCGGCCTCGGAGAACGCCCGTCGGGGTCAGGTAAGCGGATCGTGTACAACCCCGAGGGCAGGGGACGGGCTGGGCTGGAGCCCAGGAGGCACGGGGGCGAGTGCTGGGGGGAGCGTCAGGAAGGCCGGGGAGGCTCTCCCGCAGGCACTCAGCTCAGCGCAGGCGAGAGAGGGAAGGAGCCACGTGAGCAACACCTGAGGAGAGCCGACGCGGGTCTTGGGGGAGGGGGAGGGGGGGGAGAGGGCTTTCACCTCCACGTTGTCACGTTTGTTTCATGTGAGAAATGAAGAATTTAAAGAGTCCAACAGAAGGATCCCGTCAGAATCGGTCAGCATTGCTTGTAACGGGGGTGTCGCTGATGGGGTGCGGGTCTCCCCGAAATGTGCCACTTCGGCAGGTGGGTTGTCTTGAGCTGAAGGCGATGGAGAGAGACCCCTCGGACTCAGGAGAAACTGCCACCCCGCCTTTAGCTACGCAGCACAACCTGGCTGGGGCCTTGCCCAGAATACGAGCTGGTACAGAGATGGCGCTGTGTGGCCTATCTAGGGCGGGCAAACACTGGGTGATGAGCACCTGGTGATGGGCACCTGATGATGGGCACCTGTGATGGTGATGGGCACCTGGTGATGGTGATAGGCACCTGGTGATCTTGATGGGCACCTGGTGATGGTGATGGGCACCTGGTGATGGTGATGAGCACCTGGTGATGGTGATGAGCACCTGGTGATGGTGATGGGCACCTGGTGATGGTGATAGGCACCTGGTGATAGTGATGAGCACCTGGTGATGGTGATGGGCACCTGGTGATGGTGATAGGCACCTGGTGATGGTGATGAGCACCTGGTGATGGGCACCCGGTGATGGTGATGGTCACCCGGTGATGGGCACCCGGTGATGGTGATGGGCACCCAGTGATGGTGATGGGCACCTGGTGATGGTGATGGGCACCTGCTCCTCCTCTGCCCTCCCTCCTGCAGCCCTGGGTACCTCCCTCGTCCCCGGCTCAGGATGCCACAAGACAGGGACTTTGCATTTCAACAGAAACTTCTTAACAAAAAGCAGGTGCAGAGTGAATGCCACAGGAGGCAGGGCCGTCAGAGCCGCTATGGAGCAGATAGACGTTTCTCAAAACAAGACCTCAACTTAGTGACTACACACCAAGGAGTTGCCACTTCCCCACAGCCTGGGGCCACACGTTTACCCCAGGAACACGCCACCTTCCCCGCAGCCTGGGGCCACACGCTTACCCACAGGGACACGCCACCTTCCCCGCAGCCTGGGGCCACACGCTTACCCCAGGAACACGCCACCTTCCCCGCAGCCTGGGGCCACACGCTTACCCACAGGAACACGCCACCTTCCCCGCAGCCTGGGGGCACACGCTTACCCCAGGAACACGCCATCTTCCCCCCAGCGTGGGCTCGCATGCTTACCCACAGGGACACGCCGTCTGACGCGGAACAGACCTCGCTCTCCTGGGGCGGCACACAGCTCCCTCTCAGTGGCTTCCTCAGTCCTTCTCTCCTCTCCTCCCTGGCCTGCCACCTCTCCTTGCCCGGCCTTCCGTCCTCTTTAATACCATCAGGCCGACCCCGCCCTACCCCCAAAGGTCTCTGCCAACCGGCACCGATCGCCTCCACGCTGCAAAGTCCAATGTCCTTCCCAAGCGGGCCCGTGACTCACTCCCACCTCTGGCCCTCCTCTGCCTGGTGCAGGGCCGGCTGGAGTCACAGAGCAGCGGCCCCTGGTCCCTGCCCACGGCCAGCAGAGGGGGACGGGCTGTGAACACTCGAGGGCAACAATACTTCCAGGTGCGTACAGAAGCCCGGAGGGCAGCAGCCGCCAAGTGGGCCTGACGGTCTCCCAGCGCGAAGGACAGGTGCCGGGAGGGGCTGTGATGACGACTGAGCCACACTGACAGGGAGCGAGCGTGCGGGTGGCGGCGAGGCGGCCGGATGGAAGGAAGCTGAGTCGGCCGTGACGCTGGCCACGCAGGACGAGTGAAACCAGAGCGGGCCGCGGCCGGAGGAGGAAGGAACGGGCTGGTGTGAGGGCCTCCCAGCCCTTGCCTGAGGCCGTGCACGCCCACCAGAGGTCAGTCACACACGCACTGAGCGTCCTGCAGCGTCAGAGGCAAAAGGCAGGGTGACCAGCGGCACGGCCCACAGTGCGGGAGGAGAGCCTGGCTGGGTCCTGAGAGCAGCCGCTCACGCTCCTGATGCTGCGGGCGGACAGCTGCCCCATAACCCACAGGAACGGGCTGAGGTCCCTCCTCACTCCCACACCGTCCACACGGCCTCCCGGGAGACCGCGCTCTCCACAGACTCAGTCACCCGCTCACCTGGGACCCAGGGGCCCCGCTGCCGTGGCGGCTGCCGAAGGCCAGGCCTGCCCACAGCGTCGTTTCCAAGTCGCCTGGTGCTGAGTCAGCTACGGGTCCAGCGCCTCTGAATGGCCTTTCCAGGCTTTTCCATTTTGTCCTCAACTGTCAGCATCACACGGGCCGACTGCACCCCCATCCCGCAGTCCTGAGCACTGCCAGGCCTTCGTGGGAGCCACACATCCGGGAGTGTCCGCTCCCTCCCGTTGGGGGCACAGGGCGCTCTGACAGGAGTACGAGGCCCCAACTCAGGCTTCAAAAGCAAACAAGGGGCCCCGGCTGGTGCCCAGTGGTTAGAACGTTGGACCTGGGACTGAAGGGTCAAGGGTTCGACTCCCAATCAAGGGCACGGACCTCAGCCAGGGGCTCAACCCCTGGCCTGGGTCTGGGCACGTGTGGGAGGCAACCCATCGATGTTTCTCTCTCCTCCCTCCTCCTCCCTTCCTTCTGTTCTCAATAATAATTAATAAAACAATATCCTTGGGTGAGGATTTTAAAAACACACAGCCAAGGGGGCGGGAGGGAGTGGCCGCATGGGGGGCG